TGAGATGCACTGCCAGACTGAGGCAGCGAGGATCACCAGATCCATGCAGGATATGTTGGTTCTTCACACCAAGATAACAGAGATACAGCCTGCCTAGTATACTGAGGGTGCAGCCCAGTTCATGTTTGTAAGATTAAATCCCCAGCACAGTGATAGAAGACTCTGCCCCAGTTCCCTCTGTCTATTTCAGAGGGGCAAGGGCTCAGGGGTGGGGCAGGTCTGGCTTAAGAATTCAAGAGAAGCCATGCTGGATTAGACCGATGCCTATCTTGTCCAGCTGGGAGTTGTGGGACCTTTTTCTGTCTAAACATGAAGAGAGCTGCACCTTACCAGCCCTTTAAAAGGAAATAAGGCAAATGCAGGGAGGAGCATATTAACTTGACCATTTTGTTCCCACAGTGGCCAGTCAATGGGAAGCCCACAAGCATTTTGCTTCTGAATCACAAGCAATACCCTTTCAGGGCCCGGGGCCGAGACACCCTCAAGGGGCCCCTCCTGCAGCCAGTCTACCTTTCACTGCATTGCCGGCAGCCGCTCTTGCTCCTCCAGTGGCTCTTCCCAGTGGAACCCTGCAGGGATGTGGGCCCTGGATGTGTGTCCAAGTGGTAACATACTTCGGCTCACAAACGCCTCAGTTCACGACCAAATCAGGTCGCAAACAAAAATTTCATAAAAATTTTGACTCAGGTCGTGAACTCCGCATTGGATGGGGACCACGATCCTGGCCATCTCCCCCACATGGGGTGATCATGCTGGGGGCGGGGGGGAGATGGCCGAGATCGTGCCTGTCTTTTCTGCAGGAGCACAACCGCGATCTCGGCCATCTCCCCGCCAGCACAATTGTGCCTGTCTCCACCACCCAGCGCGCCGGGATGACGGGCGCATGCAGGGATGACAGGTGCAACCGAGGTCATGCTGGGGGGGTGGGGAGATGGCCGGGCTTGTGTTTTGGAGGGGGGGGAGATGGCTGTGATCTTTGTTGTTCTTTGTCACTTTGCTTCTTCACATTTTGGATTTAAAAAAAAAAATAGTTACGGAATGGATCAACCTTATCTACATTGAACCTTATAGGGAAATTTGACTTGGCCCACGACCAAGAGTCCTGGAATGAATTAAGTTTGTGAGCCAAGGTACCACTGTATAGCCTGCATGATCAGAGTCTGCTAATAGGCCTGTTCTCCCTACATTCATCTGCTTTCCTTTTAAAAGCACCTACAGGCACAGTCCCGTGTGACGGAAGTCCTACAAGGCACAGGATTTTCCCAGCTAGCATTGGGAATTGTGGGACTGTTTTCTGTCCAAGCACATATAGGATTGCATATGCATCCTAAGCTGGCATCACGACTGCATCTTTCACTACTGAATTCCATAGTTTAGCTATGTGCTATGTGAAGAAGCACCTTCTTTTCTCTGCCCTAATTCTTCAAGCATTCAGCATCACTGAGTGACCTTGGGCTCTTCATACTTGAGAGAAAGCAACTCTTCATTCACTCTGCTAATGCTGTTTCATGCGGTAGTAAAGCCATTCACTTGGGTCTGGTCTCTCTTTCTGGGCACCACTGTCTCTATGACAATCTGAGAATTTACTATCACATTCTTAACACTGGAAATGATTCTCATTAGGTGTAAATCAAGCTGTACCCATTAATATGTTAGAAAGTGTGCAGGAGAGTCCTAAACAGATCATTTCTGAGGTAGCTGCATAACAGCTCAGAGGGAAATGAAATGTTTTAGCAAGCAGCAGTCAAGATTCTCTCGCCTGTTTTATACAAATAACAAATTTCTCCAAATGACGCACTGCCGGGATGTAACAAACACTTTGGAATTAGCAGATGTTTCACAGTGTCTCTGAGGAAATAAAAGTGGGTCATAGTAAGAACCGCATCCAAGCGCTGCTTTAATGAACCTTCCTCTGTATCATGGGTGGGCACCATTTTAGCCAGGAGGAGGCACTGATGGAGCACAAGCACCCACTCTCTCCCCCCACCTCTTCAGAGCACAGGGGGTGGGAGGCTTGAACCTTTCCTCCCTGCCCTCTGAGATCTGAGGGTGGGATCCCATTGACCCTCACCTTCACTGATCACCCTGTCCCCTCTATGACTCCGGGTGATCAGATACAAAGAAAAGTAGGTCTTCAGGGGTCATGGAAAATGGGGTATTCTAGGAGGTACCACCTTTTCTCACCTCCTGGTATGACACATTACAGCTGACAAATTTCCCTTTCTACATAGCTCACAAAGGCACCTGCACCCTCCATTCTTTTTCATCTATGACTGCTAACACTGTCTCTACTCCTGCGCTTGTACAGCCATTTGCTCTGTGGTCCTGAAGAGGCAATCATGTTCTCATACTGGGAAAAGTTTTCTGCTGCGGATTTGTATAGCTGTTCTTGAAGACAGAAGCATTTTTGTGGAAAATTACAAGGTATTCTGTATCTTTTGGGTCATCCTATTCCAGTAGAAATATTCTGGTCAATGTGATATGATCTTTAACCAGCACCCTATTTAAACTGTATGTTTTATCAATATCTGGGGCTCTCTGGCCCAAGTCCAACATGCAATTCCTGTTCATTACTACCAGGACAGAACCAGGGGTTACCAGTTTAAGCAGCTTGTCTTTCTCACTGAGCCAAAGAGGGCTTGTTGTCATTTCAGTATCCTGCAGGAGTGGCCAACATGCCCCTCTAGGTACTTTTACCTACAACTCCCATCTTCCTTCACCACTGGCTTTGCCAGCTAGGGCAGACAGAAGCTGCAAGTCAAAACATCTGGAGGGCCACAAATTGTTCACCCCAGTTTGCTACTTAACCAAAGATTATTTACATCAAACATTCAAAAGGTAGCATAAAACAGAAATCCAAGGGCAGGTCATCAGCTTGGTAACCAGTTACCTGAATATCTGTAAACTTCATCCTTAGGGTACAATATCCCTATGCATGTTTCAGCAGAAATGTTCTATGACTCTCAGTATTGGCTGGAGACTGTTGGGAGTTGAACTTTTTTTGTTGAAACACATCTGGGATTGGGTTCTTAGACTGAACAGTGAATCTGGCTACTCTAGGATTCTTCCTTCCAAATATGTTGGACTGCAACTTCTATAATTTCCAGCCAGCATCTCTACCATCCCCTCTTGTGACCTAAACCAAGTTCACCAAGCAATTTCTTTGTTGACAAATAACCAGAGTAACACAGCAGACACTAATCAAGGATTTCTAACATTCTCATTATCTTTGTACGTGAACACACACAGAAGTTGCTTTGAGGTATCTTCTCATGTTGGATTTTTAGTGCAGTGAGTCCAGAAAAGGTACAGGGTCCCAGGAGCAGCAGGGATTTCTTCTGCCTTTGTACACTGGCCAGGTTTTGCCTATTCTTGAACAGAGAGGGCCTTTCAACCCTCATTTGAGTTTTTTGACCCCCAGTGCTTGGCTGCTATGCAGCTCCTAGTGTGGAGCTACTCCTGAAAACCACTGGGAAGCTTCAGTTCATTCAGCACATTGCGGTTCATTTCCTTATGGATGTGAAGTATTACAAATTTTGGCTCCAACTTCACAGGGCACTGGCTGTCATTATGATTCCAGCTTTGAGTCAAACATTTGGTATTTACCTATAAAGCACTTAATGTCTGAATGCTGGATATTTCAGGGGACACCTATTTATTATATTGTGCTCCCTCCCCCAACCCTCAAGCAGTTTAAAGTACCAACTGTGTGGAAAGTACATTCACCATAGACTGGGGAACCTGTGGCTCTCAATATGTTGCTGGACTTCAGTTCCCATCATCACCAACCACTGAGGCTGGGGCTGATGGAAGTTTGAGTTCAGCAACATTGGGAGCCGGAGCACATCTCCTGCTTTAGCTCAGTTGCTCCCAGCTTATAGAGAACACGCCTTCCTAAAACCTGTTGTAATTCCCCTTACAATTTGTGGATTGTTTAAGGGTTTAAACTGTTATATTTAGCTTGGTTTGGGTTTTTTATTTTTATTGTTTAAGCTTTTAAATTAATGACAAATAATTTATAAATGTCACATTTATAAATGTATATAAATGTCATCAATAAATAAATGATACTGGCCTTCCAGAGGGGGTGCAAAACACATATTTTTTGACATTCCCTATAGTGCACTTGTTCATTGGAGCCTAGTCTTTCTTTGTTCTTTCTTTTGTGCTGTGCCTTGGGTTATGGGGGGTGGGGTTTTATATTTATTTGCGATGCTGCCTTGGATGTAGAGAAATTTATTTATTTTCAATTTACATCCTGCCTTTTTCCTTGGTGGCCAAGAAGTCATTTTAATACAGAAATAGTAAAAGAAATGGGTGGGCTTCCCCTTACCTGTTGAGCAACCACAACGGAGCCTAGGGCTCCCACTTCCTTTAATATTTGTCTAGAAAAGGTAATTTGAACAGGTAAAGCTTTTCTCCCCGCTCCACTACCAATTACTGCTACCAGCATGCTCTTTCTCGCAGGACTACGAATGCCCAGGGGCTTGCCTTTGGCTGGCCATGACTTTGCACAACAGCGAGGCTTGGGGCACTTTAAAGACGAGCCCTGGGGCACAAGCTTTCGTGTCTGCTACGTTCCCCTCGAACTGGACGACTTATGCACACGTGCTTGGGCATCGGTGCGAAATTCCGGCTGAACCGATAGAGAGCCAGGCCGGCGTGCGTGGGCTCGCCTGACTGCACAGCTGCCGCTTCCTTTGCCTGTCAGTTCACTGACCTGCAGATGCGTCGCGCGGGCACGCGGACAGGGCAGCGTCTCCCCCGCCCGGCGCTGCCGCCTCGAGAGCCAGAGCCAGAGCCAGAGCCAGAGCCAGAGCCCGCGCCCAGGGCAGGGCAGGGCAGGCCACGCCCTTCCCGCCTGCCTTTCTCTCTTTCTCCCGCGGCGCGCCGCCCCTGGAGCAGAAGTTGCCAGCATAATCCCTCCCACCTGCCTCGACTGGCGGCCCTCCCGCTCCCACCGTGCTGACGTCAAGGAGGAGGAGTGCGGCTGCCCCCTCCCCAGCATCTTAAATTCAGCCGAAGGCTGCTCGTAGCAGAAAGAGAGGGGGCGAGAGCGAGGGGAGAAAGGGAGGGAGGAGGGCAGGAGAGCGAGCGGCAGAGCGAGCGGCCAAGCCTCGGGAAAGTGCGCCGCGGCTCAGCGCAAGGTAAGCGCCGTCTTTCGCCGCGGCCGTTGCTGGAAGGGAGTGGCGGGGAACAGCCACGCCGAGAAAGATCTCGACAGGTGGCGGTCTGCATTGTGTCCCTCAGCTGCACGGAGGCGGCGGCGGCGGGGGGGGGGGGGGGGGGGGGGGGGGGGGGTAACGGCGGCAGTTCAGCGATTCCGTCGCGGCCACACTGGGGGACGGCGGATTCTCGGGTGTGGGAACGGACGTGCGCTAGAGAAAGGCTGCGCGCGCGCGCGCGTGTGTGTGGGGCGACTGTCTTGTAGCCTTTCTCTTCATTGGAAGCTGGAAACTGGGTCGCCTTTCTTGTCTCCTATTCCAAGTGGAAAGGGACCCCCACACACCGGATAGGAAGGCACAGGGAGGGCTAGGTAGGCGGAGGCTTTTTGAATAAATCTGATACTCGATTCTAGCACCTAACAAGGGATAACTGACGGGGGCAGCACGGGAGAAGAGGACGAGGGAAAAAAGTGATGGAAGAGCAGCGTTCCGAGGTTGTCGTATTTGCTTAAACCCCAAAGAGCGACATTCACATTTAGCCTGCCTGGTTTTGGGAAAGGCTGGCTCAGGCTTTGACGACGGCTCCGTTCCCCGCCCCCTGTGGTCCTGCCGGGCCGTGCCTAGCTGCCCACCCCCGCCTCCAAATGTTTTGTTTCCCCGTTCCAAGGACGCTTGTGTATTCTGATCATAAAGATGGGCTCGTTTCTCATTGGATAATCGGGCTGCTGTAAATGTGGCCGTTTCGACTAGAGCTCTTTCGGATGCGCGATTCCGTCTTGGGTAAGCCGGTGGAGGCTTTGAAGAATGCAGCCCAGTTACTCGCATTTACTTAGGTATTATTTTTAAACGACGTCTGTTTGATCGAAGTTCCTTTTTTCTTTACTAGAGGCGTATCTAACGTGAAGTAAGTGTGGAAGTGAAACTGGTTCAATTGTGCGATTCTGTTTCCGATCTGGAGAAAGGAAGAAGAGGTTTTTATCAGCTCTTCATCCACAGCTTCTGTTTGTTTAAAAATGACTGATTGTCTAAGGCGAATGGGAGGGACATGAAAAAATGGGGACTGCAAAGTGGGGCGAGGCAATGGGAATATCCTTACATGTGGTTTGTTTTTGTGTTGGTGACTCTCTGTGGACCATTATGACGTACAACTGCATTCTAGCTTTGTCATGGCGAGTTTTAAAGACAGTTGGCGTAAGCTTCTGTGGGCCAATGTCCATCTTGCGCAGGGATTCTCATCCTGAATTGGCAGGTCTGTATGCAGACCCAAAGAAACATCAGTGTACAGAGTCGAGGGAAACATAAGCAGCGAGGTCAGAAGGAAACAAAATGCAAGAAACATGGACAGTGATAATTTCATTAAAGCTTAGTCCAGAAATGGGCAACTTCTGGCCTTCCAGATGTTGCTGGACTGCAACTCCCATGGTTATTTCAATTAGGCTGATGAGAGCAACACTCCAACATGCTGCATGTTACCCAACCTGGCTTAAATATATATTAAATAGTTAATCTGGCAATTCACAAATTGATAAATGTCCTAGCATAAGTTAACAGCCTGTAGGTGCCTCAAAACAATTTAAAATTGCCATTATAATATACTTTTTATCAAAATGTCTTGCATTCACATTGTTGTAACATTTACAATAGTTTTGTCACATAGGGTCAGTGTTCCCTCAGACAGTGTAATCTGCCATACCTGACCTCCGTGTGTCTAGCAGTATGTGTGGTCGGGACCTATGCTTTGCTCATCCTGAGGATCTGCCATTCTTATTAGAATAATTTGCCTGTATAGATACATCTGGGGGTCAGTCTGTTTTTGGCACATCTGAAACTTGGTGCCGGAGGAGAGTTTTGCAAATAACTTGGCCTGACAGAAAGATGAACAAGTGAGTCCTAGATCAGGCCAGAATTTTCCCTGGAAGCAAAAACGACAAAACTGAGGGTGTCGTGGTTTGGACACATCATGAAGAGGCAAGACTCACTGGAGGAGACAATAGTGCTAGGGAAAGTTGAAGGTAGAAGCAGAAAAGGAAGACCAAATAAGAGATGCATTAATTCCATAAAGGAAACCACAGCATTGACTTTACAGAGTTGAGCAGAGTTTTCATGGATAGGACATTTTGGAGGGCTTCCATTCTTAGGGTCACCATAAGTCAGGGATGACTGGACAGCACATAATGACAACTAACAACAACTAATTTTGGAGGCCTTCATGCCAGGAAGCATCTTTCACTTTGTCACCTATATGGATTCTCCAGAATTCTTTGGGTGTGAGTATGTGTGTAGGAAGGTGCTATGAATAGGCATAGATCTATGTCTGGTGAAGGAGTTTGCTGAAAGCAGAAGCTTCCACAAAAGTGCTGTGTAGATCAAAACAATCTCTTGTTCTAGTAAAAATAGCACAATTTTAGCACTTCATTCTCATTCTCTCTTAAACTGTATGATATCTTGCGCTGAATATGAAGGATACTTATGGATACCAAGAGCCTAGTATGTAGATTAGAGAAAAAGCAGACACCGGAAAGAGCTAAATCAATTTCCACTTAGAAATGTAATTAAGGACGGCTAATTTAGCCTTTGAAGCGGAAAGCAGAAATGTTTGGGTAGAGAACAGCCCTCTTTGACGCTTCTAGTTAGCATGCGCGCGCGCGCACACACACGCACACACACACGCTACTGGCTTTGCAAAACATGACGACCCAAACTTGCTCCTTTTTATATATGGTTGTTGGGGAAGCCAAATGTTAGCATGTCTTCTGGGCAGTTCAGCTTCCTTCAGACTGACATGGCACTTCAGATACGGAAAGGAGAACTGTGGGATTTAAAGATGAGCTGGGAGAAGAAGAAGGGATTGGTTTGTGGGACAGCTTAGGAAAATTAAATATGTATGTAGCATCATGGCTTAAAGTGCCATCTGAGGGATTTGCTCTTCCCCTGGCACTGGTGGGAGTGCCGCAGAGAGTCGGGGGGCTATTCTTTCTGCAGATGTGTCCTTCTGGTTTGAATACTCCAAGGGTAACAGTTGTTTAGCTTACAGTCTGCTGAACAACCAAGTTCTTTGTGTGTGTGTGTGTGTGTGTGTGTGTGTGTAGAAAAACAAGAGAAAATTTACTAGATTAAAAAACAGAAATAATTGCTAATGTCAACAGCACCACCCCACAGTTGATCATTATTTCACCTTGATTTGCAGTGTTTTTAAAGGGAATCACTTAGTGATTCTAATATATTGAGCTGTGTAAAAGTATTAAAAAATAAATAAGGCACCAGGTGCTTGAAATAAGAACCTGATATGAATGCAGTTTAGCTTTGATTGTTCATGGAATAATTTCCTGAACAATGTGGTGGGTTGGGGACTGAATTGTGCCTCCAGGCCCAAGCTCCATGCATGGAACGCATTCTCTGAACAGAGGTTGAATCCATGCAAGCTATCCACACTCTGTGATGTCTATTGCTGTGGTAAGGATTGCATGTGTAGCCTCAATTTTTTTCTGGATAGCCTTACTGCACATATACAACATGTGGACTTCGTGGCAGGGCTGAAGAACATGATCTATTTCCCTCACTACTTCATGTGTTGACTGCATATGGAAATGTTTCGACCAGGCTTCAGTAGGTGGGGAGGTTCTTCATTCGGTTGAAATCCTCCCACTGTTTTCCTCCCATGGAAATGGACTTTAAATAGCCATTGAGACTAACCATGGGGGCTACACCTTGGTCCTTGAAGTGTAGGGAAATTCCTGTAACCCCTTTGCTTATAGCTTGGTATGAAGAAGTGATGCCTTGGAAGCGGGGGGGGGGGGGTCTCCTGGGGCAATTTGATTATCTGCATTGGTTTGCTGCTGTGGGAGAATCCCACCTCACCTGGAACATTATTTTCTTAGCTGAAGAGAGATCACATTTCATTGATAGTCCCAAAACCTTAAGGGAAATTAACACACACAGAGAGAACAAAAAGCCCTTTAAGATGTATTCAAGTCTATTTCCCATACTCAGCTAGGATGTGTGAGTGCTGGACTATACTTTATGCTTAACAATAGATATTCCTATCTCCGCCCCCCCACCCCATGCGCAGAATCAGCCTGGAATGTGCAAATTTTAGTGTCCAGTCTAGTCATGTTCTTTGTTCAGAGGTAATTCAAGGAAAAAAAAAGCAAGGGAAAATTTTGGATCACTCTTCTCCCTGCTACAACCAGGCGTTTAAAAAGCCTCTATTGATTCCAGTGGAAGCTTTTAAAAAGTTTAATAGCTGTGGGGAGCATTTTCCAGAGGGGAGTGTGTTTGTGTGGCTGCATATGAATGAATGGGGTCTGTGTGATTCTGTTGTGGGGTTGCAAGCCAGCAGGGGTGTGCTGTCCTGCTGCTGTGGTTGTGGCTCCCACTTCCCACCCTTTCCTGGTATGCAGCTCCAGATGTGCTTGTCCAGAGCTTAACTCATGAATTTAAGCCTTAAAGTTATGCACAGAGGGCACCTTACTCCAGCACGGCTGCATGGTATCAATACTGAAGTGTTGCCATAATGTTGGAGAGGGTGGGCAGGTTTGTATGACTGATAGGCTGCATACAAAGCAAGCCAGGGACAATGGGTATGATTACGCATAAAGGTAACTGCACAGAGGGCACCTGACTCCCCCCCCCCCGATTCTTCCCATGGGCAGCCTGGGGGATACTGTGGGAAGAACAAGACTTTCCCTTTCTCTTCACTGCTGCCATGGCCTTGTGGCTTTTTTGGCACCCTTGCACCTCTTGCCAAGTAGCCACTAGGTGACCACCATGGTCAACCACTCCAAAGGTGCCCAGGGGTGCAGGTAAGTAAACCCATCTTTGCAAGCATTTGGCAGCTGTCAAAAACAGACTTGTCAAATGCTTCCTGCAGTGATCCTACCTAGCAGTGTATGTCCCTCTCCAAAAGAAATTTGGTAATTCCATCCAACTCCTACTTTAAAAATGAGAATTAGGAAGTGGGGTGGACACTTAAACATTCCCTT